GGGGACATGCCCCCCATGCCTCCCCCAGGGGCACGCGCAGTGGCAGGAGCTGTGCCCTCTCTCCAATCCCCTGTGGCCCCTGGACAAGCCACCTGCAGCTCCATCCCGCGCCACGCCTCAGCACCCCGTCCCAGCACCTACCCCTGCCCCACCTCCCACCCTCACCGTGGGGGCCTCCATCTGCCCCATGCAATGCCCCTTCCCTCCATCACAGACTTACCGGCCAGACACTGCTCTCGAAACTACCAGGCTGCATACTGGCTATTGGATTGGTATTGGCTAATATGGCTGGTTAATAATCGGCCATAAAAAATCTTTATCAGTGCATCCTTAAGTGGAAATGTAAAAGAAAACAAGTGGAAAAGAAAAGATGGTATCGAGAGCCAGCATAGTTTGGAATACTGTTCATTTCATTTGAGAGCTGAAGGACAACAAAACCCCATAAAGAGGGGAAGTAAGCAAGTCCTGAATTCAGGGCTGAGTCAGACAAGAGAAAGCACAAAACAGTAGCCAGTGGGCACATCTACAGAGATTAATCCATATTAGCCTATTTGAATGTGCATTAAAGCATTACAAAAAAAGCCACTTTTTCTAATGTGCATTAAAATATGTTAATGTGTACCTTTTTCTACTACCTCAGAATGGGGATACTAACTCTAATGTGCATTAGCAAAAGCGCATTAATGAACATGTAGACACACCCACTGAAATTGGATGGGGGACAGGTGAGGGAAAAGTCTGCAATGTCAGCCCAACAACAAAGGAATGATCTGGGTGGTTCACTCGCTTATTCTTAATAGAATAACTACTTGAAGGCTGATCCACAAGAAGTTAGTTTTAGGATTTACCCGAGAGGAGCAATCTGAACTACTATGATCATAGTTCACTCATGCAGAGTAAAGCACAACATTTATAGCTCTGTGTTTTAACTCACAGGACTAGATAGCATTTTTGAATAGGTATTTACACCCTTTCCCACCATACATAACACCTTGGGTATTTAGATGTCATTCCATCTGCTGGAATACTGTAAAAGATTTCCTGGAAACTCTTGCAAGTAATGTTTAATATTATGATAATCCAGCAAAAAGTTCATATAATCTGCCTTGCAGAGTACACACATTCAATTAAAATTTTGTTTCATTATTGGTCTTCTATTGTGTTAATTAGCCATATAAATACTCACCATTTCTCTGCTTGATTCGGGAAGATGCAGGCCATCTGAAGACTTCATGATAGTTTCTTGTGCTATCAGTTTTGATACACTGAACATTTTAACTTTAGCTTTGGAATTTCTGGAGCTGCTGTTCAGAATACGGACTGCCACTTCATTGAAAGCGTCTATTTTCTTGTTAGTGATCATTTTTCTACTCTCACTCAACAGATCTTCATAGACAGGATCTGAATTTAAAAGAAATTAAGCTTTTATTAATAAACCAAAAATAAGAACTCAAAATTTCACAGGCTAAGTTCACCCTAAATTCTTCTATTGTCAAAAGATGACAACAGATAAGTGCAGCATGAGACAATGAAATGAAAGCTTACTTACCTTACTGTAGCTGGGAGTTTTTTTTAATGCATTGTCAACATACAGAATCCACTAATGGCATTAATGCACTTGAGTTTGAAAACTTAACTAGTAGTGTCCGTATGGTATACATGCGCCCTGAGTCCTTGCAATTCGTACAGAGGGCTAAAAAGGTGGAGCATACTGACAAACTCTCAGTTCCCTTTCAACTTTGGATTTCCAGGCATACAAGAGAGTCAGAGAAGATAAAAGCATGGGTTGCAAAATGTTAACGAAGAGGACAAATTGCAAACAACTCCATATCATTCCACGTGCATATTCCATAGCAGTAGAGGTAGCATCTCAGAGGCCAGCAATTCAAGCACCACTTTGCTGACTGCAGCATCTAATCCTGAAGCTTCAGAGATCAGGTAATTCCAGGTGAAGTACAAACAGAGTTCCAGGTGGCTGCTTACTGATCTCCAAGATCAGAACACTTCTCAGTAAAGATATGGATGCTTCCAGAGCCATGGCAGTGTGCTTTAATAATTCTAAGTAGAACCACTTTAGGTTATAGACTGTGTAAGGACATGCTATGATTATCTAGATAAGCTCTGGATAGAAACTGCACTATGCTTTATATTCCCCACTATGAATCTAGAAAGGCCCTACACAAAATTACTTAAATTCAGAGCATCTCTCTAAAGACACCTTATCCATCAATGAGGCCCTGGATCTCCTCTACCCTCCATGCTGAAGTGATGACTATTCAATGAAAGATAAAACAGAAAGGATATTGGCCCAAATAGGGAATCCATGAGAGTCAAAAGAACTGGAATGAAGAGTGAACCGGCTGAAGAGGGGATTGAGTCCCTGAATTATGGTAACACTGTAGGTTAACACTCTTGAAATTAACACAAAAAGGTAGAAAGTGGTCCTCTCCCCTGGTATGTGATGCAACAAAAGACCTCCTAAGCATTCTAATTGCACTTAGGGATAGGTCAGTTTGTTTCAGCTCTAGACAGGCAGGTATTAACAACTCAACACAGGAAGAGCATCTCATCCAATTTGCAGGTAAGTCTGTCTGCAGATAAACCCTGATCAGTGATAGGAATGTAACACGCTAATGAAAAGCAGGATCATCCTGTGCTGGACTGTCGACCAGCAAAGCAGAAAAAAAGGTCAAGAGATTTTGCTTCCAAGTGTTAGATCATCTCTCATTCATAGCAACAGATCATAAGGGAGACATAAGCTCTTGGGTGGGATAGAGTTGTGGTATACTATATCTACAAACCAAAATTATCTTGGCCATGCTGGTCTTGTCCGAGCCTTCTTCGGTGTTGTGAAGCACTGAGAACCAGTGATTTGTAAACCAGGAACTTTGACGCACATTACCTTTGACACAATTAACAGGTTAATCATGCCTTAAATAGTAATCCGGCTACATGTGCAAGTCAATTTAAGGCGTGATAATGTACCAAACGAGCCACAAAGTTATTCCACATATCATGTACAATAATTTTGTAGCTCATTTGTATCATGTCTTAAACTGAACATGTGACCAGGAACTGTCAAAACCCAGCATGTAACCCAGCTGGGTAACACACAGGGTTTGATAGCTGCTGCAGCCTGATGCTGGGCTCCCTGTGAGCAGAGTGGGTGCTATCAAGTCCCAGGTTTACTCAGCCTGGCCGGAGATGGGGCTTATATAGCTCCTAGTGCATGGAAAGCTTACAATTGGGCTGCAGCCGTTGGCACCAACTTTTATTTTTGCTGGGGG